GGGGTCTGGCCACAACTCTAGGGACCTAGTTTCTGAGTCAAAGCTTGGAAACAGTTGAGATCCCCACCTCATAACCATACATAAAATTGCTGGGCATGAAAAATCTAATATAGCTATGCTACAAGGATTGGCCTTGGGGTCTGGCATATTCCCTTGATCTCATTTGGAGAATAGTTTGCCATGATTGCTTACGTATCCAGGTGAGCGCTACAGGCCCTCTGGGCCTCTTGTTAATACAACACAACACATATTACACAAGCTTTTAATATTTTCATCATGATTGTATTACTAAGTAATCAAACTCCTTCAATATTTCATATGATATGGGATTCAAAATATACTTTGTAGTTCAATTTCATTTTAATTGGATGTAATGAAAATCATACCCAATTTTGATTGGTTCTGATATAAAACAAAACACACATTTGATTGGTTCTAGTATAAATCATACTCAGTTTTGATTGGCTCTGATATTACCCGTTATCACATTCACATTTGATTGGCTCTTATATAAATAGTAGTCAGTTCTGATTGGCTCTGATATGAATTGTACTGACATTTGATTGGCTGATTAATAATGTGTATGATGTTGGCCCCCTAGAGAATCAGGAGAGCAGTAAGCCAGGCAAGCACAGATCATTTACGTCACTACTCTTTGCTGCTTAAGTTACAACTTCGCTTTTCAAAATTTATATGTAGCAATTCAAAAACCATTTCAGTTTACCAAATATACTGCCAGGCTATTTCAATATTTTATTTCATTTGAAAATGTATGGTGTTTAAGTTGAATTTTTCTTTTGTATGGCATATTAAATTGTCTATATTGAAAAAAAACTTTTTCAGATTATTACAATGTAAATTATATTTTCTTTCAATTTCTATATTTTCTTTCAATTTCTTCTGTTTTCTGGGTAGAAAATATTTTGCATGTCTCGCTATTTCACTGTCATTCTTAACTATGTAGACACTAAAGGCAGATATTTGTATTGCTCTATTGTACCTCCAATGAAGAAAAGATTCAGTTTTTTCTATTCTTTTTGGAGTTGCTTATTGACATTTACATAGAGCAAAGAGTTATATTCCGTCTTTTCATATTACAGAGTTATCTGCTCTTGTGAGCAGGTATTGATTGGTATGTCATTTATTTGTGAGAGGAACGTCGTAAATTTTTGAGAAAACGACGTAATTTACCCACACAAACTAATGACATAACAATCAATACCTGCTCACAAGAGCAGATAACTCTGCAATACGAAAAGACGGAGTACAGTATGGGAGTGTCTACATATTAATTAATGACATTGTATACTGTTTTGGGGTGTTACAGGGGAGACAACTCTCTATATACTCACTGATTCATCAACACCACATGTATGTCAACAACAATATGTAATTAATTAACAGAGCCGCTCATGTATGGCTCATAATGGGATTTTAGAAGTGTGAAAGAATTTAAAAATTTACTTGAATTGTAGGTACCATTATTTGCTATCATGAAACACCAATTTGTCGAAAAACTAAATTAAATTCAATCTTTCAACTCTACTTGTGTGGTTCCATTTCATTAAAACTAATTTTAAAGTTGTTTTGTTAATGAGTCACGTTCTGTTCTCACTTACAGATTTAATTTGACTACCAACAATATAAGTAGCAGTTGGCTGTTGTTTATAATATTTCCTACAATATTGGTAAAGTAACAATAATTACATGATAGGACAGTTGTTATTATTTTGTGATTTGTTGACAGATTATCAGTGCTGATGAGATGGTAAATAGGAAAAAGTTGACATGTGAACCAGAAGTTTTGCCCGAACTTATAGGCCAGTCCAAGATTATGGAGGAAAAACACATCTATATGGTATGAACTATATTATGGTACTTGATTAATTGCGACCTTGAAAATTGCTCGCAAAGAGCTACACACATAACCTATGCAGACTGGCAGTGTTTCATTAAAATATCTACATGGGTCATTGCAACCATGGTACTACATGTACAGTGGTTACTGTTATATAAATACATATCTATACAATCATTTTAGTTGAGTCGTTGTATTACCCTTGTTATAAAATTCCATGTCTATACGATTGTTTCAGTTGAATCGTGTGTTACCCCCGCGGACGATTGGTTACCCATGGATGATGGTTTACAGTACAGAGCAACATGGCTTCAGTCTGCGTACGCTATACAGAGGCATGCAGGGGATCGACAGTCCCATCTTACTGGTGGTACACGACACCTCAGATAATGTAAGTCAGCCGCTGTCACTGAGGTACAAGTCAATAAAGGAGTTTTAGATCGTCTGTACATTGTTGTTTCTTTAGGTTTTTTTATACCCAACCAATAGGAATTATATGCACATAAATGACAGAAAGAAAAATCAGTCCAACAGTCTGGTCCAGACAGCAGATGTGTGCTTTACAGTTCAATGGCAAGGGTGTCATAATGCTGTATTTCAGAGTGAAAGAAATAGAATGAGTTCCCCTTGATATACAATATTGACAGAAAAATATCAACTCTATGGATAAAATGTTTGAGTATCCAGAACTCGGCATAGCCTCATCACGATTATGAAAATCTCATCCTCGGGGTGAACATTCACTGTCTGTAACACACATGGTACAGACAATACAATTATTCTGTTAGTCGATACTGTGTGTTTCTATGCAGTGTTGTAGGTGTTTGATATTTCTGTGTCTATTGTAGATATTCGGAGCGGTGACGTCTTTAGTAGATACTGTGTGTTTCTATGCAGTGTTGTCGGTGTTTGATATTTCTGTGTTTATTGTAGATATTCGGAGCGGTGACATCACAGGCCCTGAAGATGAGCGACCACTTCTACGGAACTGGTGAATCCTTCATGTACACCTTCTATCCTGAATTCAAGGTGAATAATTACCACCCTGTACAAAAGATCAGGGGGGACAACTTAAAGATCCTTTTCAGACGGATCCATTGCAAACTGTATATGCAGTCCAAATCAATAATTTACACAGGGGTTCCTGCCCAACACATTTGAAAAATGACGGAAAATACGGCTCTGGATAAAATAATGGCTTATTGTTACAGCATCAATTGACACACAAATGTTTCTAATATTTCTCGCATACAAAGGTAGCAGTATACATTGTACAATACAACTAGACACCTGGTACTGTCCCACCTCTACAAAGGTAGCAATATACATTGTACAATACAACTAGACACCTGGTACTGTCCCACCTCTACAAAGGTAGCAGTATACATTGTACAATACAACTAGACACCTGGTACTGTCCCACCTCTACAAAGGTAGCAGTATACATTGTACAATACAA